TCCCCGACAACTGCTGGAGCCGTCGTGGTGGTGGTGGAAGCGCTGGTCGTGGTAGTGGTGGTCGTCGTTGAAGGCGGTACCGGAGGATCACTGGGATCCTGGTCGCCAGCGTTCTCCGCCACATCTGCGCGATCCTCTGGCTCTGCGGAGCAAACATCCAGGATGCAAGCTCGCAAGAAGGCCTCTTTCTCGCCAGCAGCGCCAGATGCTCCAGTGGGCGGGTAAGGCACGCCCTTCAGCCAGTCCGCCTTCTCGCGGCACAGCTTCGCAGCATCCATGAGAGTGAAGCCATCCGTCGTGGCAGCGCATGCCTCCTCAGGCGTTGGCCCCGGTGCTGGGTTGTCCGGCTTCTTGCAGACACAGAGCAGATCCCGGAACTGCTTGGAGTCGCAATTCACCGTGCTCGTGTCAATCTGATCAAGGCTGGACACGGAGGCGACGCACTGCTGGCCGTTGGGCTGGTCAATGGCCATCTCGCAGGTGGAGCCCTTCTCGGCGCAGAACTCGGAACAGGAGAAGGACTTCCCCAAGGCCACGTAGGCCACGCAGTTCTCACCATCGGCCTTGGCCTCCTCGATCACGGCGTCCTTGTCGCCAGCACAATCCACGACCTTTCTGCCGTTGGGCCTCAACTGCATGAACTCGCAACCCGGCGAGATCTCCGGCTCGTCGCCACCATTGTCCGGAGCACTGCAACCTGGAACGGAGACGCCGGTCTGAGACTTGCAGTAGCCGCACATGTCTGCGAACACGTCGTCGGGGAAGAGCATGTCTGGGCTGTCAGGGGACACATACGCACCGCCGAACGACGGAGCACCGCAGATGCCCTCGTTGGTCAGAGCCTCGTTGATGATCCGGAGGTTTCCGTTGTGCAACAGACCGGGGGCCCTGCGGATGAGCTTCGTGTTCACGTTGAGACGAACGCACTTGTCGTCGCTGAGGATGTTGACGCCCTTCTTCAGGTTCTCGATCTTCTCCGTCGACACATCCGCATCGTTGGGGTTGGTCACCGTGTCGTTGGCAACAATCACCA